AACCAGGGTCGACCCTGCTTAGCTTCCAAGGTCTGGTGAGATCAGGCTAGCCTGGGTCATCCCTGTCAGGGTATTTATTATTGGCTTTATTTATCCTTTACCTTTCTTCCCAGTGGGGACCCAGATTGGCTCATATCATTCTCCTCTCCTATATTGTATCCTCACAATGACTTAGTGAGCCATGTTTGGCTGAAAGTGTGTGACTGGACCAAGTGGGGATCAATGTTCCCTCTAAGCTGTGGAGTCTTGTGAGCAAAAACGTTACTTTGGCCCCTGCCACACGGCAGGGAAAAGACGTGGCGAAAAAAGCCGCGCCAAAAAGAAACGGTTGCCGCGCTCCGTTCCTCCCCGGCACGATCAGATGCCGGGGAGGAAGATACGACTTGGAGGGGGAGGCTGCCGTACTGCGCATGCTCGAGCATGCGCAGTACGGCAGGGGGCCGGGGGATGCAACGGCGGCAAGACGCGCCGCCGGTCCCACGGCCGGGATGAGGCGCCTCAACGGGATGAACCACCGAAGGTAGGTGGTTCATCTTTGAGGCGCTTCATCGGGGGAAGGGCCGGGTTGGAGGCAGGAGCACGACGCCAGGCAGATGTTGCCGTGGGAACGCGCCCGTCTGATGCGCATCAAATCCGGCCCGCTCCCGGCTCAAACTGCCTCGTATGAACGGGGCCTCTGTGAGCTACTGCCATTAAAGTTGTGAGCAAGCAATTTAGCTACTGCATAAATTAGTTTGCTCTGTTAGCCTTCCTGAGCTAAGACAAAAATGTGTGAGCCAGAGGCCAAAAAACTGTGAGCTAGCTCACACTAACTCAGCTTAGAGGGAACCTTGGTGGGGATACAAACCATCTGGGTCTCGCGGATCCATGTCCACTGCAAGCTAAAAATGTACTAAATAAATATGTGTCCTGGTTTTATTTCTCTTTTTTTGCTGTGCCTATTTCAGTGGCGTGGGCTGTTTTGTAAGTTGGTTTTGAAGGGGTGGGAGGAACCCGGATATAATCCTTTAAATAAATACATGCGCTCTCTGCTTACCTTCTATTGTCTAAAAGACAATCTCCAACTCAGATGAGAGGGGGTTTTGTTGTCTTTTCCTTCTCTTTCTCTTTTCCATTTTAACTTGCTTTTCTTTCCTTTTGCACCAGTTGTAGCTTAAATGTTTGTCTTGTTACCAAAGAGAGAGAGAGAGAGAGAAACAGAAAAATGAGCAAGAGTCTTAAAAGCTGAAAGGCCCAGAACACCAGTAAGGACTTGGCAGAGATGGTGAGGCTGATGAAAGAGAATAAATGCCACTTTCAAATTAGCAGATGCCCCCCCAAACCATTATACAGTGCAATGTTAAATGGGAGCAGTTCACAGCAGCACATTTCATTTCCTTAAATGAGACATACAGCCAGTCTCTGTTTTGATGGGGGATGTTACATGCACATTGAATTCAGGGTGGTGGGAGAAGATCCCACCGGTGGCGTGGTTGGAATTGTACTGGAGGCAGTGAAAGAACCTAATGGATGGTCTTGATTTGATGCTATTTTCGCATTTGCATGCATTTATGGTGAAGCAATGGTTGGGTCTAACCATGCAATCCTACAGCAGTCTAAATGTGCAATTCTGTGGAGAGTTACTCCACTCTAAGCCCCTTGACTTAAGATCATAAGGAGACCCCTCCTGGATCAGACCAGTGGTCCATTTAGTCCAGCTTCCTGTGTCACACAGTGGCCAATCAGATGCCTTGGAGGACTAAAAGGCAGGGCATAGAAACCAAGGCTGTTTCCTGTCTTGTGAGCTCCAGCTGCAACATGCATTGCATGTCGCTTTACATGATTTGCGTTTCTTTTAAGTGGGTAAATACTGATGACAATGAACACGGTTATAAGTAAATGCAAAGGACTCTAGATCCCTGAATTTCGGGAAATGAGGTTGATTTCTAGCTTGAGGAACCATCTGGAACTATATACTATTAATCCAGAACCTTCTTTGATCATATAAGAAATAATAAAAACCAGCAGGGTGGGCTGGTCAACTCCAGTCCCTAGAGGCTAATCCTTCTTCAGTAGGTGTTTGTGATAACACCGTCTTGTGATCCAGGCAAGTATTTCAGACTGCTCTGGTCAACTGCATTTCAGTTAACTCCAGGACTTCTTGTTCAGTCGCACAGCCAAGGCCGACTCTTTGCAACCATGTGGACCACATCATGCCAGGCCCTCCTGTCTTCCGTCATTCTCCCAACTTTGCTTAATTTCATGTTTGTTGCATCAATAACACTGTCTAACCATCTCATCCTTTGCTGTCCCCTTCTTCTTTGACCTTCAATCTTTCCCAGCATCAGGGTCTTCTCCAGTGAGTGCTCCCTTCTCATTTGGTGGCCAAAGTATTTGAGTTTCAGCTTCAGTATCTGGCCTTCGAGGGAACAGTCAGGGTTGATTTCTTTTAGGATTGACTGATTTGATCTCCTTGCAGTCCAAGGGACTCTCAAGAGTCTTCTCCAGCACCATAATTCGAAAGTATCTATTCTTCGGCGCTCGGCCTTCCTTATGGTCCTACAGTGGACTATATGGAAATTCTAGAAGGAAGTTTGTTCAGTTGTTGCTGTAGCTTTGTGCAGGGAACCATGCTATTAATCATTGTGTGTGTGCTGCCTCCGGGGCCCTTGTCTCCTGGATACAACACCTGGCCAGATTCCAATCTAATTGGCCAGATTACCCTACCAGTTATTCCTGGGCTCGGTGAGACTACTACTGCCCTTAGTTCAGTCTCCTTCTAGTCGTCTTATTCCTCCACCTTTCCTTTCCAGCTCCAGCTTCATTCTGTAGTTTCTTTGGGGCTTCTTAATTTTGCCCACCACTTTCCTTGTGACGCAGTGACCTCATCTTGGGAGAGATACACCGCTAATCTCAGAAGAGGCCTCTCGATCTTAGCCTTGACAATGGTGTGGTCTTCAGAAAGATCGTCTCTGATGAAATGGAAAACAAACTTAACTGGGTGTGTGTGCATGTTTATTCTTCCTAACCTGCCCACCAGCAGGCCACATGGATTGTTGTATCTCAGTTGGCGAAAGGTGCCAAGTGGAACATAATGGAGCAACCGCCTCCAGCAATCGTGTCAGCCAGAACACAACGCCCCCCAACCTGCCCTATGTCGTGCGTCACCTCTGGTGACGCAGCTTCGGTGAGCAGGGTTTCCCCCAGGGCTGATTTCCGTTGCATCGGAAATCGGCCCTCCAAAGCGGGGGATTCCCCCGATTTGGCAACCCTAGAATGGTGTGGTCTTCAGAAAGATCATCTTTGATGAAATGGGAAACAAACTTAACTGGGGTGTGTGTGGATGTTTATTCTTCCTAACCTGCCCACCAGCAGGCCACATGGATTGTTGTATCTCAGTTGGCGAAAGGTGCCAAGTGGAACATAATGGAGCAACCGCCTCCAGCAATCGTGTCAGCCAGAACACAACCGGGAACAGGAGCCAGGCTGGCTCAGACAGTACAGAGGGAACAGATCTGTGAAATGACAAGCGCCTCCTGTTTCAATTTTTTTCTGTGTGACATATTAATCTGCCGCATAGGAATGAGACCTCTTTTCACCAGCGGCAGGGGTTTCTCTGCAGCATCTGGCCAGCCTGGCCAAAGGGCTGCCCTTTGAAACGGCTGTACCTGGTTCACAAGGGAACAGAACTCCTTGGAATGGCCAGAGACAGCTTGTCATTAGGCAACGCTCACACACTGACAATTCAAGCATGGGTTTCCGATTTGACATGGGGAGGAGCCGTGGCTCTGTGGCAGAGCATCTGCTTGGCATGCAGAAGGTCCCAGGTTCAATCCCTGGCATCTCCAGTTGAAAGGATCAGGTAGCAGGTAATGTGAAAGACCTCTGAGACCCTGGAGAGTCACCGCCATAGAGTAGACATGACTGACTTCAATGGACCAAGTGTCTGATTCAGTATAAGGCAGCCTCATGTGTTCATATTATGGACACTCTACAGCAATGCTCTCGCTAAGCTGTAGAATCTCGTGAGCAAAAATCTGGCCTTGCAGGTCCACTGCCAGGCCCCTCATGGGACTCGGCAGTGGAGCTGCAAGGCCGGCGCTGGCGGCCGGGACCGTTGGGGGCGATGTGTGTGGCCTTATGACACACTTCCGGTGATGTCAGGGGGTGTGGCATATGCTAATGAGTTATGCGAATGAGTTCCCCTAGCTCTTTTTCTACGAAACGACCCCTGCTTAAAGGGAACACTGCTTTACAGTGAATTCATTCCCTCCCATTTTCTTTTGCAACAATCCAATGAAGTGGACTAGTCCGAGAGGGATCCCAGATCCCAGAGTAACCAGATGAGCTTCATGACCAAGTGAAGATTTGTATCCAGGTCTGAGTTCAACCACTACTATGCTACTGTCCACAAAAGGAAAGTACAATAAACGTGTCTGAACGCATGTCGTTGTCCGAGTCCTCCATGCGGCGAACCCAGTACTTATGTTTGACACCCCTGTTCTAAATGCTTATGTGGATAGAGTTATTTTTCATAGGGCAGCATTCACACATGAGATTCCTCCACCCTGCCCCATGCATTCTGATCAAGAAAAGTTGTGCTGTTGGGCTCCTGTTGCAAGCACAGTTCAGCTCTTTTGATGCGAGGTCCAGTCTTTCTCCTGCTCTTATTAAATCTTTGTGTCGATAAAGCCTTTGTGGACACACACGGGTAGAAAGACAGAGGGACCTTGCTAACAAATGACCTTTCCAAGGTCAGTCAGAGAAAGAAATTTCAGGCTGAGAAATAATTGCTCCCAAACCTGCACTAACCTTAAAGCCATCTTTCCCTCTCAAAAATGGGATTTCACTTTGGAGACACAAGACTTCTGGCACAATAAGGTCAAACAGGGGTGCTGGTTGGTTAGGACACAGCCATTTGTCACAGGAACAGGACAACATCTGGAAGCAATGCATCAGAAAGGTACAATTCTGTCCTCAGAGGTCCAATAGCTAATGGATTTGCTGTTGTCTCCTTGCAGATCCACCTCATGTCAATCTGTCGGTGGAACCTCAGCCTGTCCTGGAGGACAACACCGTGAAGTTTCACTGCTCAGCCAAAGCCAACCCAGCCGTCACCCAATACAGGTAAGATTAGCTGCTTGGGTATAAGTGCTTTATGGAGCCCGCCACCAGAAAACTGCTTGTATCAACAGTGTTATTTGATATTTAACTGCCTGGGGCTGCTGCCTTGAACTTCACTGAGCTGACTCATTTGTTGCGTAGATGGAGCATTTGTCCTGATGAAAGTATGGCTGTCTACAAAGAATGCTCTGCTACCTGTCGGCACAAATAGCAAGGAAATATAAGGGTGTGGCAAAGTGGGGTGTTGCTGCAGTGGCAAGAGATGCGATCCCATGACCAAGGTCAATCCTAGGAGTAGCAGGGGCGTATGGCCCAATGGTCAGGGCAACATGTCAGAGGAAGGGTTTGTCTTAGAGCTCATTCAGCTGTTCCCAAGCAGCAGCGAGAGAGGAAGGGGCAGTGCCGGATTTACGCATAAGCTAAATAAGCTACAGCTTAGGGCCTCGCAATCTGCTGGGGCCTCGAATAAAAACACAATATAAAAAATTATTTCAAATATTAAAAAGGCGTATATATTTTAAATTTTTCTGAGACCAGCTGATGTAATTTAAAACAGTAGGGGGCCTCGGGGTTTTGTATAGCTTAGGGCCTCAGCAAGTCTAAATCTGGCCCTGGGAAGGGGGAAGGCCTTCTCTCCCTTCTCAGTTTTATGCTGAGATTGTGCCATTACCAAATAGAGGTAGACCAAAATATTCTTTTGATTACAGGTGTAAAGTTAAATTTCCTTCCTGAGGGTTTTTTTTTATTGGAATACCAAAAAGACCCAGTAGGAAATAATGAGCATAATGAGCTAATCTCTATTTTACATCCTACAGCAAGAAATACGGTTGCTGCCCATTGGAAAAACCTTTTGCCACCCCACATCGATACTTGGTTTAGTCGTATTTGGTCTTATTTTGTTATGGCAAAGGTTACCATTGGCACCAATGTTCCCTCTAAGCTGTGGAGTCTTGTGAGCAAAAATTCTACTTTGTGAGCTACTGCCATTAAAGTTCTGAGCAGGTGATTTGGCTGCGGTATAACTTAGTTTGCTCTGGAGCCCTCCTTCCTGAGCCGAGACAGAAATGTGTGAGCTGGAGGCTAAAAAACTGTGAGCTAGCTAACACTAACTCAGCTTAGAGGGAACACTGGTTGGCACTAGGCAACCATACTCTGAGAAGGCTTATAATAACTTTCTGGCGACCTGGTTCCCACTAATGCAATTTTTGTCTGAACTGGATATCATTCCGAACAACCCAATTTACAAAGATATGATTTTCTTATAGTTTTTGCTTGGCTACCTATTTTCTTTGTTGAAGGCTGATGATGTTTTGATTGGTTTACCTGTATTTAGATGGGGTAGTGCACTGTTTTTCTTGTATGGAATTAAAATTATTTTTTAATAAGAAAGAGGTTATGGGATACCTCCTTACAAATAGACTTTTCTAGAATCTCATACTTCCCGGTAGTGGGAAGCAGATTACAAAATTTTAAAATTCCTAACTATTTCTTCTCATTGGAATTCCTGAAGCATCGAAGAGCTTTCACCTTAGCCTGGCTTAACGTTCTTCCCTCTGCCCTACTTGAGAGGAGATATGCTCAAACTCCATATATATACTGCCTCTGTCCCTGCCAATCAGGTTTGACAGAGACAATTGAGCATGTCTTTCTATATTGCCGTTGCTATCAAGAGATTCAGGAAAAATATCTTGCCCCAATTATGGCACCGTATCTGGGTAGAACAAACCAACTTTATTCTGCTCCTAGCAGATTGTTGTAATGAAATTACTGCCAAGGTGGCAAGACGTTGTGCTCGGGCTATTTTAATAAGGCAGAGGGAAAAAATTAACTTACCCCAATTCAATCCTAAAATATTTTACAAATCTTTAAAAGTCTGTTTATTTGATATTTGCTTGTTTTAAACCCGGCGAAGACGGAGGTCCTGGGCCTAAGTCGGGTTGGTTCGGGTTTGGGGCTCCCTCTCCCGGCCTTCAATGGGGTGCCGCTCGTGCCGGTATCGAGGGTTAGGAGTTTGGGAGTGCTCCTGGACTCCACCTTGATGGAGGCCCAGGTGGCAGCCACTGCCAAGTCAGCCTTTTACCATCTTCAGCTGGCATGGCAGTTGGTTCCTTTCCTTGACCGCAATGACTTGGGCACTGTGATCCATGCAACTGTCACCTCAAGGTTGGACTACTGAAACACTCTCTACATGGGGCTGCCTTTGTCACAAATCCGGAAGCTGCAGCTGGTGCAGAATGCGGCAGCCAGGCTGTTGATGGGTCTCACTAGACGGGACCATGTCCAGCCTGCGCTGAAGGCACTGCACTGGCTGCCTATAGCATACCGGATTCGCTTCAAAGTGCTGGTTCTTACCTATAAAGCCCTTGATGGCCAGGGTCCAGCATACCTAAGGGATCGCCTTTCTCCATATGTTCCCCCAAGAGTGCTACGGTCGGGGTCGCAGCACCTACTGGTGGTTCCCAGCCCCAAGGACATCAAGCTGGCTGCAACCAGGGCCAGGGCTTTCTCGGCGGCGGCTCCTGTCTGGTGGAATGAGCTCCCAGAACAGGTTCGGGCCCTGCGGGACCTGGCGCAGTTCTGCAGGGCCTGCAAGACGGAGCTCTTCCACCAGGCCTTTGCATAGGAGCCGCCGCCGTCACTGTACCACCACCGAGTTGCCATCTTTGACGGTGGATTAGATCTGGAGGTGAGTCGGCCCTGGGCAGATGCCTAGTTAACCGAAGAATGTATGTCGTCAGGTTAGGTTGATGAATGGAACTAATCTTGGATTAAGAAAAATTTAACATCTAGAGCACCGCACTTTACTTAATGATTGTTTTATACTGTTTAATGATTGTTTTTATGTTGTTTTAACTGTTGTTATGGCAATTGCCTCTGTTGTAGCCACCCTGAGCCCGTTGGGGAGGGCAGGGTACAAATCTAATGAATGAATAAATAAATAAATCAATTTTAACTGAGCAAGTCTGGATGTAACCAGTGGGTAGATTGTATATTTGTTTAATTCTGATCTTGGATTGTTAAGTGAACTGAAGTGAAGTGCTATTAGCTTGATATGCTGTCGTTTTGAGAACTGATATATGGAGGGGCTGTGGCTCAGTGGTACAGCATTTGCTTTGTATGCAGAAGGCTGCAGGTTCAGTTCCCCAGGATCTCTGGTTAAAAGATCTCATGGTGAACTAAGACAGATCATGATAAGGAGGGCAGGAAGGGTTGTATCAGCGCTTGGTTCTTGTGTCCCTTTCTTACACATCCAGGGAAATGCTGATCACTAATTTTGGGTCAGGAAGCAATTTTTCTCCAGGCCAGTTTGGCCGGGGATCCTGGAGGGTTTTGTAGAGTTTTTTTTGTTTGTTTTTTTGGTTTTTTGTCATCTTCTGGGTTGTGGGGGGGGGTATTTGTGAATTTCCTGCATGGTGCAGGGGGTTGGACTAGATGACCCTGGAAGTCCCTTCTAGGTGCAGGTCCTGGGAAAGGCCATTTTCTGCCTGAGATGGTGGTAAGTTGCTACCAGCCAGGGTAAAGAGTATTACTGATAAGGCAGCTTCGTGGGTTCTCAACCTTCTTGGTCTCATTCAAAGGGGGAAATGCACGTTCACCCAATGAGGAACTAAAGGATGTGGAAGGTACCCTTTGAATATGATGCAGAAACAAAGGGACAGCACCAGCCACCCTTCTGTCTTCTCTTGCTGATTTTTAAAAAGAAATTTAAATTGGTCTGCCACCCGGGATTGGCACCTGTCAGTACCAGTGATTTTTGTAAACCTTTGTGTGTTGGCTGCAGTTTTATGGAACACTTACTCTGTGATGGTGTGAGCCAAAGAATGGATCATTGTTAGTTTTTTTGATGCATGCAATTGAATAGATGGGGTGCAGAAGTAGGATTGCCTTCTACCTGAATGCAACAGACCTACACCGATTTCCCCAGGCTGAGCAGATGCAGCCAGTTACAGACCTGCCAAATGCTGCAATAGAAATTCTTTGTGTTGATGATGTTGTTATATGGTAATGGGCTCCAATTGTCTCAGCATTGTGGCCGTCTGTGCAGTTTGTTGAAGCTGTGACTGTTCCGTGCTCAGCAGCGACTTCTCGATCCAGCATGTGACGGCTGTTTAGAGAGCCCTGGCAGAAAGCTAGCGGAACCATCTGCTTTGGGACGTTGCGAACAGAACACACACACGTGCCGAGTGAACATTCTATTATGGAGAGGCTTGCTTTATTGCGAGTTTCCCCGCATAATCTTTTACATTTTGAATGCTACCACTTCATTAGCTTCATTTGATTACAACTTCAAGTTTGCTTCTAACAATTGCAGGGGAGCTGGAAGAGGCTGTTAAGTGCTGTTGGTAGGAGACTCCCAAGTTCACTCATTCATCAGGACCTTGATAGGGTTCAGCTATCATGTCACATCAGGTGACACATTCCATAGTTGCTCCCCTGCTCCCATCTATCCAAGGATGGAGCAAAGATGAGCCTGCATCCCTGCTTGCCCAGTACACCTGACCCCCCTCTCCAGACATTGATGTGGTGGCTTCCCGTTCATATCATACATACCATGCACACGTCTAGTTCTTGGAATCAGTTCATATGACAAAGATCTGGGAACTGATCATGTGATTTTAGACTGGGCCTATGCACATCAGACAGTGTGCCATTTGAAATTTAAGAGCCTGCACAAATGCCTGTGGCATCTTCTTAAGTTGACCAGGCACCTGCATTGTGGCTCAAATCAAAACAAAAAGGGGGTATATCTCTGCCTCTCTTGATTATTATGATTTTTGACACCCCGTTTTAAATGTTATTGCTCAAAACAAAGACCTTTTTGATCAGAATTGTGTTATAGATGTTTTACTATGTTAATTTATTGATTCTTGATTATTTACTATGATCCCATATGCTTATGACAGTTTATTGTCACTGTATCTGATGTAATTTTCAATAAAAACCTTAAAAAAACATTAGAACAAGGAATTTAAAAACAGATTGCACCAAATATTGCACAGTCT